CATCAGTTGTGATGAAGTTCTCATGATCTCAAAACCATTAAGGAAACTAATGTACAGTCTTAAGGGTAAATCAATGAGAAAGTGGTCTAACTGGGACCACTGGTGACATTCTCAAGTGTGTTCACTTGCAGAAAGACATCTGGGGCCTCTTGGGGTGCCACCCCTTCACTCTGCAGGGAGGGGAAAGCAGCACAGAGACCCCTGCCTAGCAAACCCGTGACTGATCTGGGGCAGCAGGGCAGTTTGAGGTGATTGTGGCTCATGGCTGGTGCCCATGGGGTGGTGGGGACAGAGCAGGTCTCTCACTCCTGCAAAATGGCAGCCTGTCTCTCTCTCTTTCTCTCTCTCTCTCTCCCTTTCTCCCCCTTGCCCCTCTTTCTGTGTCTGTCACCCCTCTTTGCCTTTCTTGTTAGTAGGTTTACGCAGTTTCAGTAGAAACCTCTGTGTGTTTCTTCAGTGGCTCCTCTTGGCAGTGCCACCGTGGTTCCAGGAGTTGGGGAGGTTTTCCTGGAGTGGTCTGTTGAAAGCAAGGTAGATTGGGCCTGAAAACACCTATGCTGTAGAACAGTGAGCCTTGCGATCCTCAGGGCTGGGACCCTCCTTGGCCCCTGGCTCTCCTGGGGATGACAAGGAAGGGGTCTCACCTGTGGAACCCTATCCCCTGCTCAGCCTGAGTTGCTTAATCTGGAGCCAGCCCTCGGGATTGTACAGAGGATGCCCTTCCCTCTGCATCTGAGATAGATTCTAAAGATGGACCAAGGCATGTCAGGTCAGCTTTCACCCCGGTTGACTCTCAGGGAAGAAAGCTGAGAACCTCACTTAACTCGAGTTCTTGCTTGACTTCAACGAACACTGCTGTGAAATAGCTGGGAAAAATGAAATTCCAGCTCATTGTCTGGAGGCTGGCTTTCATACTGGTGGGAGAGGGGAGCTGGCAGTAGCTTCTCAATTCCCAAACTTTCCTGATAAGAATCACCTGGGTTGCTTGTTAAATATACAGATTATTGGGATTACAAGTCTGTTGTCTTAACAAGCATTCCAGGCCATTCCTGTCTTTAGGCAAGTTTGGGAAAGTCTGTCTACTATACAAAAACAGCCTGTGGAAGAGAAGTGCTCTGCCCCAAGTTTAGTTTTGCATATAATGCATGAATAGGTTCTCCTTGTTAGTAAGTATTTTAACATTGTAATAGAGGCAAGTGTCCTTTGACCCCCCTCTCCCCCATTTGGGATGAACCTTTCCACCAACCTTTTCTTCAATTTAAGTTTCTGTTTTGCTTTTCGTCAATAGTTATATTGTGTTTATCCTATCACATGGCTTCTTTCAGTTCAAAACAAAGTTGGTGAGAACTGTGATAGTACTTGTGGAGCAATTTTTAAACTTGCTGTATAATATTCCACAGATGGAATTAACCCAGTTTACTTAGCAGCTCTCCTACTGATAGATATAGTGATTACGTGCAGTTTCTCATTATGACTGGCCTCATTGAGCATCCTTGCCCACATCCCCTCATGCACATTTGGAGTAGTGAGAAGTGAAATAGCTGCATCAAGCTGCATTTTGGGATTTTAATGGATTGCCAGAAGTTACCCTTCAGAGTGGTTCTACCCATGTGCATTTTCCCTGAGAGCATGTGGCAAGGTCCTAGCTCTCCATCCAGGGAGGCTGTCTCACAAAAGCCAGTAAAAAGCTCACTAGGGCATATGGAAGGGTGGCCAAGTGGCAACACCCACCTTCCTCCAACACTTCCTTTGGGAAAGAAACAGGAAGACCATTTCCTATCATACCGCTAGTCCCCAAGATCAACACATCAGGGCTCAGACTGCCTGAAGTGTCCCAGTTCCACTCATCAGCCTATGCAGAACAGAGAGGCACCTAGAGTCAACTCTCCATCTGCCACCAGCCCAGAGAGCCATGGGTGTGAGGAGGTATGGACTGGCCCTGAGGCCTGGAGCAGGTCTCTGGAGGATTTCCAGCTTCACTGTTTTATGAGCTGGGTGAAAGTCCTTTAAGGGCTCTGGGCTGACCTGGGGTTTATAGTTTTGTTTGAAAGCAGAAAAAGGTGCTTGCATGGGGTTTACCATCCCTCCTCGGAGGCTGAGAATGAAAGAAGTGGTTCCTGCTACTGCTGCTGCTGGGGCTGCTGAGCTCAGAGGGGGTGGGACCAGTGCCCTGAGTTCCCACCTCAGCTGTCCTCTGCCTGCTGTGGTTGTAAGCCGCCAAGAGAAGGCATCCCATGAACTGTCTGAGACTAAAATTCAAGGAGAGCTTCGTAGGCATTCAGGTGGCCTGGCTTGCAGAGAAGTCCCAGATGACTTCCTTTTGGTTGAATTGTTCGGTTAGATTTACAGGACTTGTCTGCTAACTGGGGCGTTTTAAAGCAAGCAAAAGCAACCCCAGCGGGAATCCAGGGCACATCTGGGGAAACTCATTCCCTTTCTTTTAACGCAGGAAAGCAGAAGCCTTCATGCAAACCTGCCCTGCCTTGTGTGTTGACTTATGATGAACCCTTGGCAGCCTGGAGTGGTCATACCACCTAGTCCTGGTGGCCTGGCCCTGTGCAAGGCACTCTGGCTGACTGCCTGCTCAACTCTCCTAACACCTGGTTAAATTTTTACTCCCAACTAGGACAGTTCAGTGCAGTATTTGCCAAGTTTCAGGTTGCTCAAACCTCCAATTCCCTTCCCTCCACCAGCCTTACTTTGAAGTTCAAAAGCAAATTGATTAAATATACATTTTAGGAACCTTCCGATTTGCTTCTTAAACTAACACAATTCTAAAATTTTTTTTTTTAAACGGAAGGATTTTCAGCTGTCAGCAGGTATAACTGAAACCATATGTCAGCAGAGACTAGGGGCTTTTCCTGGTTTCAGGATTTGTAAATTCTTACTGAAACGGAAGTAAGCAGGGCAGGCAGCTGGGGGCCCTTGACAGCCTGAGCTCAGATCTTATTTTAATTAGAAAATATAGATAGTGCCTGCTTTATCGCAGGCCTCCCAGAGCTCCGTCCTAAGGCAAACAAAGATTTGGTTTATATCCTGCAAGCCTCCGTGTTTGCAAATTACAGAGTACTTCGGAGAGGAGCTGGAATGCTGATTTCTAGACTACAGCAGCCTGACCCCACCCACCCTCTGTTCCCCAGCAAATCTTCCAAACAACTTTGTTTTCTTGGGGAGCTGCTTCTTCCCTTCCTCAGGGCACTGTTCACATGGCACAGAGACAGTGATGAAGTCTAGGAGGACAGCAGTGAGGTTAGATATCATCTGCAGCAGCTACATCATTTTCTCCATTTGGATATCTAGTCCCCTGAATTCAAAGCCCTGCCCCCGACCGGCATCTGAACTGTTTGTGCTTCTCGTGTATAATTTTCTCTCTAATGTGTTCTGCAAATGGTGGAGTACGAATATCAAATGAAAGACATCGGCCGGCAGAGCTCTCCCCACCCCCTTTTTTCCTCCAGCCTAGTGTCATTTGAGCTCATTGAGGCTCCTGAAAGGCCGTGATTACAAAGTCAGCATCTGGAAGTGCCTTCTGAGACCCAGAGCCTGACCCACCTCCTCATCAGGAGACAGGAGATGGGTCTTTGTGGGTGTGCATCCTCCTGTTTGTATACATCTTGTCGGCTCCTCTCCTGCCATGCAACCCATGCACCCAGGGCAGAGCTGCTGCCGGATGTCCTTCTGCAGATGTCACATTCTGGGCAGCCAGTGGGCTGGCGGTCACTTGTGTCCACCGCCAGAGCTGCTGCCATAGGCTACTATTTGCTGGGCAGACAAAGGGGGATTTTTCCCTTCCCTACACTTTATAGGCCCTGAAAATGCTTTACATTCCAGGAGCTGGGAGAGTCTGGAGGCTCCTGTGGTTTCTAATTAAACTCATGATTTAAATAACAATTCAGTAATCCCAAGGGTGGAGGGAAATGCTAACCTTCCTCCTCTCGGAGCAGCGGTTGGGTGGCCCACAGAAAGGCTGGGGACCTGTCCTCTGATAGGTGAGTGGGCCAGGGAGACTCGGAGTTTGGGGTGAAGCTGGTGTTTGGTAGAGGTGCAGGGTGAGTGGGTTCTTGCCCTTTTCCCTCTGGTGAGTATGCCTCTCACAAAGGTCAGGAAGTCAGAAATGGAGGAGAGTAGCTGGCAACTGGAAATTGTCAGCTTTCTCCAGGGAAAACGTGGAACTTGGTCCCAGAAGTGTTAGAATTCCAGATATGCATGTTCTCCTGGGAGTTCCTCTACGCCTTCTATTCCTCCCCCCACCTGCCCAGGTGACTCACTCTTCTTCTGTCAGTATCGAAGAGGGCAGGGCTGGGCTCTGGCAGACTGACAAGTGAGGACACAGGAAGGGCCCTGCCCTTTGTGGACTCAGTAACCCAGGTGTTGAAGAAGGGACCTCTGGCCTCCTGTTGCCAAGGCCTTTCCTGGCCCTGGCATTTGTCTGTCCATCCTGAGCTGCTTCAGTGTTTTCATTTGGCCTGTCTGGGGCCACCATCATCTTTTACAGTGTGTTGATCTCACCAGATTGTTGTCTGATGACCCAAGGCATGATTGTGTTCCAGATTTGGGGAAAATGGAACACTGAATGTAATTATCTCTAGAGGAGCTCTTTTGTGTCTCAGCCAGCACCAGGCCCATGGCAGCAATTTCTAGGCTTTCTACAATCTCCTTTCCAACTTTTCCTCCACTTCTGTCTATTAAACTGAGTCACACACATTCCCCGAAGACCCCCTCTGGGTTCTCATCTCTGCTGATATGTGTCTGTCCTGACTTTGGCTCAGAGGCCCTCTGGTCTCATTTCACTAACTGAACCAGAACAGGCTGAGTGCACAAGTCTGCACTAGGGGGTGGGGCATCCCTTGCACTAGAGAGGGCATGGGCTTAGATTCCTGCCTTTCTTTCCCTTCCTTGTTTATCTACCCCAGGCTCAGATGATGTTTGTTGGAACAAAGCCTAGCTGTAGAAAAAAAGAGCCAAGGTGGCCTTATACCACACCCTCTTCCTTCCCACAGGTCACCATAGCTGATGACTACTCGGATCCCTTTGATGCCAAGAATGATCTCAAGAGCAAAGCAGGAAAGGGGGAGAGTGCTGGCTACATGGAGCCTATGAAGCCCAGAGGATCATGACAGGTAAGCACAGTGTCTTAGTTCATTTTCTGTTGCTATTATAGAATACCTGAGACTGGGTAATTTATAAAGAGAAGAGTTTTTAGTTTACAGTTCTAGAGGCTGGGACATTCTAAGCTCAGGTGGCCACATCTGGCCACAGCATCATGCTGTGTAATAACACAGCAGAAAAAAGCAGAAGTGCGAGCAGACACGTGCCAAAAACAGGGTATGTGTCTTTCTTTGCTTTATAAAAACCCACTCCCATGGTAATTAACCCAGTCCCACAGAACAAGCACTCATCCACTCCCAGGAGGTGGCATTAGCCTGCTCATGAAGACTCCACCTGGTGACCCAGGCACCTCCCACCTCCCAACATCATGGCATTGTACAACTAGTGAGCTCAACATGAGTTTTGGTGGGGACAAACTATACTCAAGAGTAGCACATGGGACTCACAACTCAGCAGGGAGGTAGAGAAGGAGCAGGGGCTGGCCTAGGCATTCTTGGCAGCCTTAGCAGGGAAAGTTGTGCTTTCAGGGCTGTGGTCAGGAGGCAGGGCTGTATTAAATTTTCTCCAGTTTACCAGCCTATGTTTCACCTGTATCAGGTGAAAACTGATATCAGGTGTCCATCATGCATGGACAGTTAACCAATGATTTGGGCTAAGAAGTAAATGGGTAAGAAAGAGGGGAAGTTCAATCAGAAATTTTGGACTGGGGAAAGATGCAGCACTTGAGACATAAAACTTTACTTGGAGATTCCTAGCAGCCAGAGCAAAAGAGAAAGCAAACTGGGTCACCTTGCTTTCATTGCTAAGAAGAGGGAAGACCTAGTCATTAGTAGGGCAAAATTATCCTTTGTCATGTACCCAAGAATCTTTGTTGTGGGGTTGGTGGCAGCATGAAGAGTGTGGTCTCGATGGAGGGTTTATTGCAGATGTAGAGACTTTCCGCTGTGGCTGGTCCCTGGTGGGCTTTGATGACAAAACCTTGTCAGAGCAGTTGTGTTGGGCCCAGAAAATGTGACTGGTGTATAGCATCCTACAGGACTGTTTTGGCAGGATAATGCTTGGAGATCACTAAGGAGTGAATGGCTATTGGCCATCTTGAACAGAACCCCATTGGTTGGTGGGAAGGTCACAAGTAAAGGTGAAGCTGCCATTCTCCTGGCTCAGGACATCCAGACAGAAGAATAGCCACCAACCCCACACAAGGCACGAATAGGAGTGGGGCTCACAATGCTGCAGAGTATGAAAGAGATGAAGTCTAGAGCAGGTTTGGAGCTGCCCTGGGTTTTTGAGACCTGTTGAGTTGGTATCCTGTATGTCTGGGGATTCAGGACACAAATGCTCCTTTCTGTGGCCCTGTTATTATTCATTTGATATTCACATCTTTGAGTACTTTCCCTAGGATCCCTGCCCGCCCCACATATAGTTTTTTTCTGGCGGTGTTTCACTTTTGCTAGGCAGGCTGTCTACCACTTAAGGCATGTCCCCAGTCCCCCTTTTTGTTTTTTTTTGAGATAGAGTCTCACTATATAGCCTAGGCTGGCTTTGAATGCTATCCTTCTGCCTCCATCCCCTTCTGGGATTACTGGTGTAAGCCACCATGCCCAGCCCTTGATTCCTCTTGAAGTTGGAGAAGGAAGGGAAAGGAATGGCATTTAGGGATTGCTTAATGTGTGTTGGGCCCATGCTATACAAGACCATCATTGTTTGTTTATTTTCCTTTGGTGGTGCTGAGGTTTGAACTAAGGCCCTCACATTTGCCAGGCAGATGCTCTTACCACTTGAGCCACTCCACCAGTGAGACCACCTTGTTGAAGAATCCTAGTATGAGTCCTGGCTCATGCACCTCCTGTTCAGGAAGAGTGTTGTATGGGAAGAGTGAGGCAGGGAGTAATGAGGGCCTAAGGCCAGACCTTTGGGGAGCTGGTCCTTGTGCACATTCCCATGGTCCAGTCCCCTGGCCAACCAGTTCCTGTGGGAAGCCAGGGGCAGGAATCTGAGCAGGTGTTTGGACTGGGGTCCTGAGAAGGGGCAGTCAGCTCTCCTCCAGCAACTTGGGGAGCTTACCACAGATGCCCGAGCCCCACCCTGCTACCTCCAGGGGGCGTTGGAGGCTGCTCCAGCCCTTAGGCTGGCAGTGCAGCCCTGCACCTCTTCCAGCACAGCCAGGCTACATTCAGCAGCCAGTGGCTAGGACTTAAAGGTTCTAGCTACTCTGGTTCTGAGAGTGACTTTAGGATATCCTAGCATGTTCAGGGGGTCTTCAAGGATAGCCAGACCTGACAGCTTCATTTACACATGGAGAAACTGAGTCTAGATAGGGAGAGACTTGCCCCAGGATACATAAAGAGTTGGTGGCAGAATGCTAAATGTGACCTAGACTTTTCAAGAGAGCCTTTGGATGAGGCCCGGAAGGAAGGGGATATTTGTGTTGGGTGCTGGTGTAGCTCATAGAGGGGAAATGGCAGGAGTGACCCAAGGCTGGGCACCTGGCACTGTGCCAGGTTTTCTGCTGAGCACTGTGGCATACATGTTCATCTAGTCTCACATTGTTGCTTCAGAGCAAAGGTCTGGGTTTACAAGTGAGAGAAATAGGTAAGCCACTTTTGTGGTCTTACAGGTAGATGAGGCAGCTCAGCCTAAGAGCAGAACATGAGCAGTGCTGTGGGCTACTGGTGGGCTGTCACCAGGGTTAGAAGGGGGTAGTAGGGGCCTGGGTTTGTGGAGGGTCTGCCATAGCCTGATTCCTCTGGAGTGGAGCCAATTCCTGCTGTTGCTGCATGGGCCACTCTTTACAGTGGAGTGGCCACACTTCTGGGTAGAAGTGTCCTAAGAGCTGGCTTTTTAGTGAAAACAGGACAAAGTCAGGCAGTAAGCACTACTCAGGAGTCTGCTGGACCTCATGCCTTCTCCAGAGATGCTATCCTATTTGTTGCTCTTTGCTTCCTCATTTGGAGGCTGTGGCCCAGTTTCGCCACATTTTTTGTTTTTAAGAAGATAGGTGATTAAAAAGGACACTTCCTGGTTGTAAGGATCTTGCCAAAGCTCCCTGTGACTAAGGATTCTTTGTGTGTACAGTCACTACAGTGATTGATTGGGTGGACCCTGGCCAGGGTGAGCCATCAGCACATAAATGCTCCAGGAAGGGATGGAGCTTGCTGAGCCAACCTAAAGACTACATAGATGAGAAAGGTGTGTGCATGTATGGGGGAGGGGTGCAGTGAAGCAGGGATGGCACATTAACAGTTAAGTTTAGCCTTTTAGAGTGACCCTTTTGGAGCTGGACATTGAGGCTTATATCTGTGTACATGTAACTTCTAGTAAAGGGACAGCATCCTTTATGCCTCTTTGGTCGGCAGCCCTGTGCAGGAAGAGCCCAGGCTGGAGTCAAGCTGACCTAGAGTGGCCATATATCACCTGAATGACCCCTGGGTCTCAGAAGCCATGAAGCAGGCAGTTGTGGTACTTGTAGTCACTTTTGGTTGCTCACTGGCTGTGATCCTGGACAACATGTTCTGTGTCTTTGGATCTCCCTGTGTATGGGAAAATGAGTCAGTATGATAACAAGGATGATGGTGAAAGCAGCTGCCAAATTCCCTAGTACTTGTTTACAGTGAATTCTCATTGGATCCTCACCATCCTACCCCGAGTGTAGGGGCCCCATTTTGCAAATGGAGAAACCAAAGCACAGGAGGTTAAGCAACTAGCCCAAGGCAATCCAGCAAGTCAGTTGTGTTTGGGTTTTAACCACTGTGCAGCACCTTTTCTCCAGGGCCCGGCCAACCTTGGAACACCTCAATTTGGTGTTCAGATTCCCAGCACTGCTGACTTAGCTTAACAGACTAGGTTTGGTCCTCTATATTCCTTGGTTGTGGGCAGCAGTGGTGGGGAGCTTTGTGAAGAGAAAACTGGGTGCAGCCAAGGGACTACAGCCCAAATGAGGGGCATGGAAAAGTGTGCCTGTTTACCCCAGGGCTCGTCTCTCTCTCTTAATTTATCTTCTCTCACATATTCCACTTTGTGTCACCTACAGGAATCCCATTCTAACTCGGGTTGATGCTCAGCTCTTCATGAGCCCAAAAATTGTACTGACTGCCCAGGCCTCATGTTCTCACTCTGCAGCATCTCTGGAGGTGTCTCCTGAAAACCCCACAGTGCTATGGAACTCAGTTGGAAAGCTAGGGAGTCAATCCAAGTATTCCTTTTTGTGGATAGAGAAACTGAGGCCCAAAATTCATAATCCTTTTGAGATTTTTCTAACACAGAGATTAAATGCGAAGCTGACCTGTGAAACAGTGAGCTGCCCATCCCTGAAGGAATCCAAGCAAAAGTGAGACAGCCAGTATTAGGAGATAACATGAAAGATTGTTAGGTTTTAGATGGGTGGTTGGCTCAAGAAGCCTCCGAGGTCTGCATTAACTCTGAACTCTGAACTCACTATGACCTGCCTTTCATGTACAGTGACAGTCGTCAGTTGTTCATGACCTGCTCCATGAACCAGAACATTTCTGAATTTCCTTCCTGCTCTGATGTCTATGCATATGGTGTCCCCAGGCTACACCTTCTGTTAGGCCAGTGGTCAGACTGCTTCACAGCCCAGTCTTCCCCTTTCCCTGGGTCTGCATGCCCAGACGGCCTGGAGACTTGATGCAGTAGAAGGTGCTGCACTCTCATTGGGCCATGTGGGTGCTTTCATGGGTCAGGCTGTTTGGCCTATTGAGTATCATCATTGGAAAACAGGGCACACAGTGCTGATGTGAGTCCTACATGGAAGATCAGCTTTGACCGTGGACCTGAGATTGTTGTTATGGGAGCAAAGGACTTGCTTGGTCCTTCCTATGGTATTGTGTGCTATTGAATTTTCTGGCCAGTCTCTGTCAGGTCCCCTGCCCATCTGGTGGCTGTGGGGAGAGATTATGAGAAGTCTATGAGAACTTGACATAAGCACAGTTGTGCTCAATGATCTATAGGATCAGTTTGGCATGGCCCTAGCCACAGAAGAGAGCAAGAGGCAAAATGCAGCACAGCTGCTTTTCCTAAGTTTACATTCAGAGAAAGAACTAGGAACAGTAGGTTTCTCTTGTTACAGTGTCATGCCCCTCCCCTAGAACT